ATCACCATTAAAAGTAGTAAAAAAGCATTGTATGATCAAATAACACAAAAACAAAAGGTTCACATGAAGGCGGGTTCGAACCCGCAAAAGCAGATTCCTAGGCGAGCACACACACACCACTCGGCCACCGAACAACATTTTGTAGTTGCCATTGGTCTGATGGATGAACATGCTAAGAAAATTTAGGAATTGGTCCGTCAACACGAATCTGTGGTGGAGGATCAGAAGAAGGAGAGCGACAACCTGAAAAAGGAGCAAGAAGAACTCAGGAAAGCCAACACTCAGCATGAAAGTGGAATTAAGCAGTTGAGAGAGGAGAAAGAAAAACTAGAAGGCAAGGTGACGGATCAGGAGAATGAGAATAAGAACTTGGAGATGGAAAGAGACGCTGCAATAAGGAAAAACAAGGATCTGATGGATGCACATTCGAAGAAATTGGAAGATTTGGTCCGTGAACATCAATCTGTGCTGGAGGATCAAGAAAAGAAGAAGAAGTTGGAGATGGAATTGGAGAAGTTGTCTGCCGAGCTTGGCGAAAAATATGCGCGACAACGCAAATGCTCTGCAAAATGAGAACATCCAGAAGAATGCTCTCATCCTACAGCTGCAGGAAAAAATTCGGCAGAGTGAGGAAGTCATCAAGAAGGCCGTAGAAGAAAAGAATGAGGCAGAGGAGTGGAAAGGAGTATTGGCAACAAGTCTGACAAAGACCACCGAGGCTTTGAAAAAAATGACCACTGAAAAGGTGGAAGAGAATAAGGAGATGGACCAGTTGAGGGGAGAGTTGGATGCTGAAAAGAAGAAGACTGAAGCGGCACTCACTTTGCTGAGAGAGGAAAGGAAACAGCGTGCAGCAGAGGAGAAGAAAAATTTGGAAAACCAAAATGCATGGAGAACCAAGATGAAAAACTTCAACGAAGACAAGGACAGGAATGAAAAGGAGCTGGAAGAAGCGCTTCTAAAGTTCCACGAGAAAAACATCGAGCAAGTCAGGGAAATAGAA